CACACACACACACACACACACACACACACACACACACACACAGGGACTTTTTCTGAGGGCCAAAGCTTAATTCTGCATTTTATTTTTCTTCCGGCTGCTTGTTCTACTCTATTCTTTCTCTATTCTGCTCTTCTACCCTGATGTTTTCCTTCTTCTCAGTCCCTCTCCTTTATCTTCCCTGATGTTATCTTTCTACATTTTTCTTCTATATCTCTTGCTTTTTTTTTTTTTTTGAGACAGGGTTTTTCTGTGTAGCTTTGGAGGCTGTCCTGGAACTAGCTCTTGTAGACCAGGCTGGTCTCGAACTCACAGAGATCCGCCTGCCTCTGCCTCCGGAGTGCTGGGATTAAAGGCGTGCGCCACCAACGCCCGGCTCTTATTTTTTTTTTATACCTCCTAAGACAAAAATTTCTATGCAAAAAAGATTACCTCATAACCATAACTTATATATTTTCCAATTAAAATCTTTGCGTAAGAAGAAACACATGTAGATTGCAGGTTACATGTTTTCCTTAGAAGCCCACAAGTAGTTAAACATTTTTTATTTGTGTTAATTTTCCCACCATAACATCAGTGATTCTTTTATTACTAATTAACAAAGTTTTAACAAGCTAAGCATATTTATTTCAGCCAGTTCCCTTTGTACTGACAGGCAACTGCTTGTGGCTTCAGTGTAGCAGATTCCTGTCCTTATAAAAAACTTGAAACAACCATCTATAATGAGATCTGGTGCCCTCTTATGGCAAGGATACATGCAAGCAGAACACTGTATACATAATAAATAATAAATAAATCTTTAAAAAAAACCTTTAAACAAGTGGTCAGCTAACCATCTATTTATCTTTATGCACAATAGGGTCATTTAATTTCCTTTCACAACTTTGTTTTTTTCAAGATACAGACCAGGGCCTGTGATTAATTCTGTAAGTTGCATGACCAAGGAGCTCAGGCTTAACCTTGGGTGTAGGGACATAATTGTTCTTTTTAATCATGGGTCTGTTTTTCCACAGGCAGAGTTCATGAGTCTGTAACACATGAGACTTCCTTGTTCTTATTTTTCATCTTCTGCAAATCTCACATCTAACAAAGGGGAAGGTGACTTTTGGCCTATTTTTGCCTTTTTTGGATCTCCTATTGGAGCAACTGGCAGAATAACCTAAACCATTTTCCTAATCATCTTTACTGTCTTAATCACCTTATCTTTTAGGCTAGCTCAGAAAGTTCAATTAAATCATAGATCTAACTGAGCATCATTGCTCTATAAAAATCATCTTTGTTATGATCTGCAAGTAAGTTACCCAGTGAGGAGCGGGGTTTTCCCATGAAACAACCACACCATACAAGACACAGTGGGGTCCCTTCATATAGTAGTGACACTGTGCCAGACACAGCAGGAACATGGCAGCAGCTAGCAGGAGGAAGCAAAGAGCATTCTGGAGATCATCCTCCTGGGGCTTTGCCTCTCCAGGATGTATCCAGAGTAGCTTTGCTGTCTACTAGGCTGTACCCCATAAGCTCCACGGCTGACTGCAGCTCCTCTGACGTGGCCACTGGCACAATCTCTCCTTCCCTTTTCCCTTCCTTCTCTCCATTCTCACCTCTTCTTTCCTTTCCTTCTCACGAGATCTCTGTTGAGGCTGACCTAAACTTCTCACATGCTGGGATTACATGGTCAGCTCTTGTTTCATCTCATCCTTTCCTTCATTCATTGGTTAATCTGTTCAGCAAGCACAGCTGCTGAGCGTGACTTTGCAAACCCACAGTTCCCCAGGCATCAAGGACAAATTCACACCCTGAGTGACTAGTGCTGAGTGTGACTAGCTAGACTACTTGCCTACCCGAAGGGACAACACTACCCAGCCCTAACCAATGGTTGCCTTATGAAAAATGCACGTCCAGTGTGTCTTTGTTTGTGAGACAGGGTCTCACTATGTAACTGGGGTTAAGGGTGTGTGCCATGAGGATCTCGCTGTGTGAGGACCCTGGCTGACTCAAATTCCTGGGTTCAAGGAGTCTTATTGCCTTAGTTTTCCACATAACTGAGTGTACAGACATGCCACCATGCTTAGCGGTTGTTCTTCACTTCTTTATTTGTGTGTGTGTGTGTGTGTGTGTGTGTGTTTGTGTGTGTGTTGTGTGGGTGGCATGTGATGGGGTCAGAGGACAACTTTGTGGCACTGGTTGTCTCTTTCTGTCCTTATATGGATTCTGAGGATCAAATCCAGGGCGCTAGGCTTATTTGACCCCCTCTCTGGCCCCAATCTTCCAGTATAAACTTATTTTGACTTTGGTTGGTTGGTTGTGTATGTGTGTGTGGAGACGAGCATGGAAGTCAAAGGACAGCTTGTAGGAGCTGCTTCTCTCCTTCCATTGTGTGGTTCTGGGATGGAGCTCAGGTCATCGGGTTGTCAGATTTGGTGGTAAACAACCATTTCACCAGCTCACAATCTTCCAGTT